CCCCCCTGAACTGATCACATGATACGGTGCTAGTGAGATGCAGTTTGTATCCATAACTGTCCGTATGTGACCATCATTCTTCCTCATTGCGTTGCATCAGCTCCTCAAATTTCACCACAGGTCCTCTGTACGTCTAGAATAAAAATAATGGTCGATCATCAGTATTCCACAAATGAATCTTAATGGGCCTTTATACAAAATATAGCATAACAATAGTGCTATCCAGTCACAATCCAGTAATCAGAATGTTTCCGTGTCTTGTCATTGTTTTGAAAATCCCTCTTGTTCTCCATGCCATCCAGTCATGATCCAGTGATCAGAATGTTTCATTGTCTTGCCATTGTTTTGAAAATCTCACTGTTCTCCATGCCATCCAGTCACGATCCAGTGATCAGAATCTTTCATTATCTTGTCATTGTTTTGAAAATCTCACTGTTCTCCATGCCATCCAGTGATCAGAATCTTTCATTATCTTGTCATTGTTTTGAAAATCTCACTGTTCTCCATGCCATCCAGTCATGATCCAGTGATCAGAATGTTCCATTGTCTTTTCCTAGTTTTGAAAATCCCACTGTTCTCCATGCCATCAAGTCATAATCCAGTGATCAGAATGTTCCATTGTCTTTTCATTGTTTTGAAAATCACACTGTTCTCCATGCCATCCAGTCATGATCCAGTTATTCATTGTATTGACTTGTTTGCAATGTTATACAAAGGGTGTCAGGCTAGCACTAGGTCAACTGATAGGGTGTCGAACTAGCAATCCTTTATATTCTAGTTGATTTGCTTGCACAATTTGTTAAATCTTAGGAAAAATAGCTTCTACAGGAACAATTTTAAGTATACGGTGAAATTTGGACACTTTGTAAACCAGTTTTGCTTCTGGTAGTAATCAAAACGTGCCTTAAATTCCCCCCTGCGAGGGTTAGAGCAGATAAGAACGCAAAGGATGCCACAATATATTATGCATGAGCTCATTTCAAAGTCTACTGCAAATCGGCTTTACGAGAAAACTAACCTGTGAGTCGCAGAAGAAATCCTGCGGACAAGGTACTTCTTGAAGATATCTTACATCGCTAGAAAAAAATTTTGATATTATATAATAGAAATATTGTTTAAACATACGCAAGTCTAAACCATAAATTAACATCTTCTCCGTCTTATGATTTCAACTATCTGTCTCGTGCTATTTTCATATTCAAACTGAGAGAGACCTCGCAATGAAAATTACAATTCAATCAAACCTCTGTTCGTCTTGTGAACGACATTCCTTGTAATAAAGACAATCTCTTCCCTAGAAAACAGTCATTGAGTTAATGTTTCCAAACATAATCAACGTCATTTCTTTGAAAAGAGGAAAGTTTAAAGTAGATGTTTAGCCAAACCTTTTCGCTGGAGTAAGGTGGTCCCAAAATATCGAGAAAGGCAGCAGGTCTGTCAACAAAAATTTAAAAGATTATTTCAACATACACTAAAACTTGATGCCTCTTCAAAATTTGCTGATTGGACAAGTTAATTTGGAATCACTCATAGACATCAAATGTTGAAATGAATATGTTGGGAATAATTTCTTTTAGAAAATTGACACCTCACCCATTGACGGCGCGTATTGTATGTAAATTGCCATGCGTAGGGCTGACCATACAAACACCCTGATCACTGTCGAATGTATGTTTTCCTTCGTATATGAATTCCCCAAGATGTACTGCGAAAGTTGAAGAACATGTTTTAATATTTAAGCAGTTAAAAACAGGTTCGTCAAGGAGAATATGCATATCATCTAGGATCAAGATGGTGATCAATTATCAGAGTGAAAAAATATTTTCATTATATAGGTAGTAGACAGGATTCACGCTCAAAAGCAAATTGGAAAAGTCACGTAATCAATATCTTCACTAGTGAAGATACGAAAAATATTCTCTGTGTATTTTCAGTGTCTCACTCTCTACTATAGAATAGTACATGAAATACCAGATTTATTTGGAGTGTTGAAAATGATATCTCACTCGTGAGATATCGTGTTCAACACGAGAAATAAATCTGGTATTTCCAAGCACCCATGTATTTTTCTGTTTATTACAGTATATAAAGGACAGTCTTTGAAAAGCGATAATTTTTACAGAAAAGCGATAATTGAAAAGCGATAATTTTCACATGTGAGATTATAAATAATCTCACATGTGAGATTATCACTTTTATCAGTCAGTGCTCGAAATCTCTTTAATTAAAAAACTCAATAATAATTCAGGAGGAAAACACAAAGAAAAATCATAAGCGTGTCGTATCTTTATATGTGATAAAAATCATGTTAATTTACATAAACTTTAGCTTTGATTTTCTCGGTTTAGACAAAGTTTATTTTAAAAATTACTTCGCCAATAAACTCATATAAGATGAGTCGTTTTTTAAGGCATTTAAAGCATCTGTAGTCGTGTTTTATCAGATATAAAACGCTCGGCTGCGCCTCGCGTTTTATATCTGATAAAACACTCCTGCTCGTTTATTAATTAAACAGTACTTCAAGCACTATACTTTATACAGTATATGCAACAATGCACCCATTATGCAACAATGCACCCTACTTTATTACTTTACTCCATCTAACACCAGATATGTAATATTCTTGCATCTGCTGCCCTGTAATGCTTACTAGACCGATGCTATTGTATTGAAAGGGATCTTTTAAAAATACATTGAAAGCTATCTTTGAATATTGGCTACCAGTTACTGTAAGACATTTTGTGAGATGTAAATTCTAACTTGCAGTTTCATAGTTTCATTGTATAAGCTATCTGTTTTTTCTTACATTCATTTGAATGAGATAGAGTTCCATTTGTTTTTTCATGTTGTTCACTAAAGAAAAGTATAAATAATTACATCATAACTTTCCTACCAATTTGTAATTAACATGCGATTCTTTTTGCAAAACACTTGTTGCGAATATTGGTCAAGTAGTTTGAGGACAGTATAGCAATGACATTGAAGCACTTTAATAGATCGATAGTCATTCAGGTTTGTCGAACAAGCGGTGTTCTTGACACAGTAGTTAGTATATGTGTCTGTCACCTTTGTGAATAGGATTCCATTCCTGGAATATGTATTTGTCTCATTATAATTCCACTTTGAACAGTGCTATGTGAATCAGTTTGATCAACTAATATTCTTAATCATAATTATAGACTCTGAAACAGCTCAGTGGTTAAACCATCCATCTAGAACGTGGGAGGTCGTGGGTTCAAATTCCACTTGAGTTCAGGTGCGGGTTGTACCAAGGCCAGAAGCGTTATCCAATGGATAGTGATTTTTCAGCCATAGCAAAATTGCTTCAAATGGTCATTCCAAAGACTTAGTCTAATCAATGGGAATTTTAGTAAGCTTGAAAAAATCACTGTCTGGTGAATAAGGGCCAACAGTAATTGGTTTTAACTGTTGTGGTGTCCCAGCCATCTGACTGTATGTATTGTACTGTACTGAACTATATTAATATATATACTGTACTGTCTGGTGTTAGATTGTATCGTTTTGTTTTTTGTATTGTACTGTACTGTTTTTTTTGTTTTTGTATTGTATTGTATGGTATATATAAATGGCGAAGTTATATAAAAATAAATAAATAGCACTATCCAGACTTAGCGCTATCCTACTCTGGGGTACTCTGCAGGCCTACTCTGATTCCACTTGTGCTCAGCTTTGTTTTAGATATATACTTCATCAATACCACAACAGATTTACGTGACAGACCTATCCATTCTTCTATACATGTCAACTTGAATAGAGCCATATAACACTTTACTGTAAATAAAAAAATACATGACATTTTTGTAATTGTTTCATTACATCATCATGTGTAGGTAGCTTGTTTAACAACACATTCTCGTGCAGCAGATAGTGGTCAATCAATAGCTAAGTTTTGTTCACATCAGCGAGGTATGCATAAGCAGGAATGCAAAAGAAAATATTTCCCTTGGGGACTTTGAAATGTCTTTTGTCTCTCTTAGCTTATGCTTAGAGGTTTGTGGTTTAAGCTTACACTTACGTTGAATGTTATGTCGCATGCTTCATTGCACGTCTTTGTTTTGCCTTCTCTTATGCTTGTGCTTATGTCACTCATGTGAAGCAGGCTTTATCACTGACCAGCATGAGGAAATGTTTCAATAATGTGAGAATCATTATTTTCATTATATGTAGTAGTCTTGTATTTGGAGGCAAACAAATAGAATTGAAAGGTGTGGTTTGATTTTCTTGTAATATTTCGAAAATTGACCCCACTCCATATAATCCATAATTAACAGCACTACATTTAAATGAGATAATGAAACATGATATGCCAAAAATATCCAAAACATTCCTTACCAAAAGCCATGCATTCCAGGATGATCATGCAAAGGTAGTTTCCGCCCCCTACTGACGATAAACACCGCCATCGAGAAATAGGGGCATTCTATTATATTCACATGAGTGACGGGGGCTGCCCCAGGGTAACTGGACCTCCTATCTTTGTTAGGAGGGCTGAGGTTCACATCTTGTGCAGTGATTGCTCCCATCTATAAAAACATCAAATATGTGTTGCGTTATTATAACTGGAAATTTGTTTACAACTCAAACGAGAATATCTAAAGGTTTTGCTGCAGTATTTATATTGTAAACCAACACTAAAAGTTTACATATATTGAATTAAAGTGTGAATGTAAAAGTCCAATTATGCTGTAATGAGCGCGGATCATTGCGACTTTCACGCTATCAGTACTCGAGTTTCATTTATAGTAAAAATTAAAAATGTTTTCGCGTTTTGTTTATAAACTGGTTAAGAACTGCGCATAAAACGGCTTAAAGTATGTTAAAAAGATTTTTATACCTAAAAGACAACAATTTTACATGCTTTATATACGATTTGCAGGAAATAAAACCATAAAACTAGTTCTCATTTTATAATAGCGAATTTTAATAGCGAATTTAGCCGCAAGAGAGACGGGAGATATGTTGAATACGTCAATACGACGGTCTTACCATTGATTTTAGGACATCTAGATTTTCCTTTACGGGCAATCCATTTGCAGTTTTAAACGTCTTTAATGCTTGTCTTGCTACTTTTTGAATATTTGCCATATCGTCCATGCCTACAAGGATAAAACTTTACGTTTATTCTCACATTTTAAAAACGCAGTGTTTGAAGAAGAAGCCATCCGGAAATGATGGGCTGACCGGAAGTCAAAGTCACTTCCGCTTTAATATTGCCTGATAAACTTGCCCGAAATATGGGCGTCACTGATCTCGAAATAATTGGGGATGGCTGGCACCAGCGTGTAGGGCGCTTGTCAACCTCGTTCCCAGTTGGGCGCTTGTCTGGTGTTTCTGGTGTAAACCAGAAACACCACTCTTTATTCTATATATTTATATGATTTGCAAACCATTCTACCAGTAATAAATGTCTAGTTCTATTCAGCGTATTCGTCCAGTATTCAGTTTTTTCCGAGGCAAACTGAAAGCACTCTTTATATTTGAAAAAAAAAACCCCAACTATAATCATCCCAAATCATCATCCAACTTATTTTGCGGGAATAACGAATTATTGCAGAGGTTTTACAGAGGTGAAATTAGCCCGCGCGCCTGCCGCAACTTTCGCAAGAGCAGAGGTCTGAGGCGAGTTTCTTTTTCGTTCATTTTGGCGCAATTTGGCGGGAGAACGCGTTGTGACGAAGTCAAAATATTGGTGAAAATAAACTCAAATTTCTCCAAGGAAAATGGCTAATCCTTTGACTCAAGGGGCGATCAGGGTAAATCAGAATTTCTATATTGTTTTTCGGTTGTATTCTGTATGAATCGTTGCAAAATCAAACTAATTTAGACAAATCTTTGAGCAGGGCATGATTGACACATGTTTGTTTTTGGTTTACAGGAAATTTTGTTAAATCCCAACAATCTGCCGAAAAATCCAGTCCTGCAAGTCTTGGTAAGTTTGGGTGTTGATTTCACAGTCTCATCCACAGAGTATTTACACTTTTTAAAACATGCTATAATGTGCTGAATTATGCACCATCAAATATGTACATTACTTGGTTATGATCAGGGCCTTCATGGGGTTGTGCGGGGCTTGGGGCAAAGTGCCCCTTCCATGCACCCCTCGTAGTAACCTTGGGTATGATAAGGTGGAAAGTACGACTAAGGGACGGACCATTTGATTTTTCATGGGGGAGGGGCGCAAATCCGAAAAAAAATATCGAGCATGTCTCGAATGGAAGAAAAAAAAATCGAACATCACTAACACCAGCAAAAAAAAATATCGAGCACAAAAAATTCTAAATTAGCAATACTCTATATTGAAAGAAAAATTCAGTTTCCCTTAGTTTTTTTTCTGTTGAGTGTTTCGGTTCTGCCTTGGTTAACAATACCGGAAGTATACATGCAAAATACAAACCGATACAAACCAGTTCTGACAACTTTGACTTCAATAATTCAATTATCCACAAATTACCTTAATGGTATCCCTAAAATCCCCAATCTTAACACTGAAAGTCCCACACTTCTGTAAATTCGACATCGATTAATGAGGGTGGGAAAGGGGGGGGTGGGGGGGGTATGATTCACGTTTCACAACAAAAAAAATACCGTTTCACAATTCACGTGCCATAAAAAAGCAATTTCACATTTCACGGATAACGAGACTCTAATAAAAATAATATAATAATAATAGCTTTAAGATTATGTTTAATGCATGGTACAGTACTACGCTTTAAGTTCTCTTCTCTGCCTGGCAGTTAAAAACTACTTACAAGTTTGAGTGATGAATACGTCCGACGATCTCCGAAAGGCCTCCGAAGTTTCTACTCTTGTGCAATCGAGTGAGATCGATCATATAAATTATTATCGCGTATTATGTCCATTATCACTATTATAAAATAGATCGGGATAAACAAATCAAAATCACAGTTCACGAAACAGACATCCTTAATTCCCATTTCACGGAGCATTTTTTGATCGACAATCACGCCTCACGGCTGTATAACAAATCACAGATCATGACAGTAAAATCAAGCATTTCACACGATCAAATATTGACCATTCACGCAGTGGCGTAGACAAGGGGGGGGGCTCAGCCCCCCCCCCCCAAATAGGCTGATGGACTGCCCTTGTAAAAGATGAAATCCGGGTAGAAATTAGGGGGGGACGATGACTACCCATGTGACTACCAATCTCATCTGTTCACCAAATTGTCTATAAAAGTTCTAATCTTTCCTAAATCTAACTACAGAAAATAATGCCTATGGTGGTTATTGGTTAAAATGCGTTTTAAAACTTTGATTTAACTATTCACACGCGACCGAGTAAGCTTCGTTGAGTCCAATTAAGGATCCACATTATTGAGAAATCATTAAAAATCAGGTTTTTCCTGCAGTAAATAATCTTCAGAATTATGCAAAATCTCTCCCCAGAAACACGGGAAATCGCCATTGAGGGACTCCCCCTAAAAAGACTTACGCCTTCGGCGTTCGATATATGCCCTCCCAAAAATTATAGTCTGGCTACGCCACTGCATTCACGGGTCACAAAAATACCCTTTCCCACCCGGCTCATTAATATCGCTCTCTGATTCTGAATAAAAATCGCAGTTTATAATACGTATTGAGAACACTGATACGATTGGGAACCGTGAGAATTTGTATATAGATACCATTACGCCAATGCAAAATGGGTTACACACTTTAATACACTTGATCCAATTTTGATTGGGACTATGGTCTACATTTCGTAGACCATAGCCCCGTATAAAATGGGCCAAGTATAAAATTGGTCAAGTATAAAATGGGCTGTGATAGTTATATCATAGAATAGGAAGGTATACCAGAAGTCTCACTCAAGCAAGTATTTGTCCGCGTTTTTACAAGCGATTCGTCCGATCATCAATCACGCCATCCTGGCTAGTACAATCGGCACTTTGTACCTATCAAAACCTGATAAAAACTTCCGGTTGTACTAGCCAGGATGGCGTGAGCGAGTTAAAATTTTCGTGGGTTACACTTCTGCTATACTTTCCTATTTTGTGGTTATATGCTGTATATTCAAATACATTCTTCAACCGGAATATAACCATACGTGGTTATTATTGTATTAACGCTATAGTAAAAATTTAAAAAAATATCGTGCACGCGGCAAGATTCGATAAAAAAAAATCGTGCAGAGTCGGTGAGGTCCAAAAAAAAATCGAGCACTCTCAAAAATGCGCGCCCCCCCCCCCATGAAAAATCAAATGGTCCGT